GGTGAGAGGGATGGCTTACAGAGGGACATAAGGAAACTTTGCAGGTGATGGCTACATTCTTTATCATAATTGTCTTGTGGTTCCCCACGTGCATATGTATAAACCTTATCAAATTGCGCACATTACAAATGTGCAGTTTGTTATACATCAATTATACCTAAACTGTTACAACTAAAATAATTTAAAAATATTGTTTATTTGCCTGGAGTTTCATTTTTCATTTATTCATTAAACATGGTTAGACCTGTTTAAGACCAGTGCTAGATACCATGGGCTCACCAAAGATGTATATTTAATGTTGCTTCTTTAGAGTTCAGAATCTGGTAGAATTACTTAAGTTATTATAATACTTTGTAGACTATGAAACATTTCAGGTCCTGTGGAATTTAGGGATGAAGGAAATTACATTTATTTGAGAAGTTTGGAGAAAACCACAGGCAAAAGTCACTTCTTGGCTCACGATATTAAGTTTTAAAAGACAGGATACAGTACTGTATTCAGTTTTCTCCCCAATTTTGTTACATCTGTAGTAAAAAGGATAATGTTAATATTTATGAAGGAAAAAATTTAGACACACTCACATAGTAACAGGGTACCTTCCAATAGAATATAACTGATAGTTTTTACTTTTTCATTACCTATTCAACATTTCTTAGGTGAGCTGTTTATTCCTTTTGGCTTAAAACACCCACGCTGTCTGTGCATCAGGGACCTACACTGCTGTTTCCATGATTTTGCAGAGACATGGAAAACAGTACTGGAGCTACATGCTGGCTATTAAAGCTTCTGCCCAGACATAATTCACATCTTTTCTGATCATATTTAATGGTCACAATCCAGGCTTTGTCTGAATGAAGTTGGGTGGAGAAGTGTTATCCTAATCACATGCTCAGAACAGGACAACCAAGTATTTGTGACTTCTTAATGATGACCCAGTTGCTAGAAGAATTGCTGATATCCTTCTTTTTGTTCCTCTCTCCCTGGGAAACACATCAAGCCACTGACCTCTCCTGTTAGTTTCCTATCACTTTCTCTCCTCGCTTCCATTTTCCAAGGAATATAGGCTAGCCATAGAACAAAACCCAAAGTTCTTAGTATAAGAAGTAAGGCTGGATTAGAGAGGACTCTTGTGGCGGTCAGGTCAGAAACCCAACAAGTGTAACTACAAAGGGGAACTGACGGACTCCGAGGTGGGTAGGATAAGGAGTAGCCCCCAGAACTGCAAGAACCAAAGTCTCAGGGAGTAGAACCAGGACTTTATGCTTCCCATGTTTCTTCTCTCTGCGTTTGTCTCTCATCTGTTTGCTTTGCCTGACTTCATTCTCTTCTACCTTAAGACAGCTCTTTTGCATGTGGGGGAAACATAGTCACTGGCAGCCTGACCTTCACATCTCTCTAGCTCTGTGATGCCAGGGACAAGACCACTGGTTCTTTTTTTTTTTTTAATTTTTAAAAATTTTTTATTTATTTATTTTGAGAGAGAGAGAGTGTGTGTGTGTGTGAGTGAGGTGGAGCAGGGAGGGGCAGAGGGAGAGAGAGAAGCTTTTCTTTTTTTTTTTTTTAAAGATTTTATTTATTTGACAGAGACAGCGAGAGAGGGAACACAAGCAGGGGGAGTGAGAGAGGGAGAAGCAGGCTTCCCGCTGAGCAGGGAGCCCGATGCGGGGCTCGATCCCAGAACCCCAGGATCATGACCTGAGCTGAAGGCAGGTGCTTAATGACTAAGCCACCCAGGTGCCCCAGAGAGAGAATCTTAAGTAGGCTTCACAATGGGGGCTCGATCTCCAGACCCTGAGAACATGACCTGAGCTGAAATCAAGAGCTGGATGCTTAACCGATGGAGCCGCCCAGGTGCCCCAAGGCCACTGGTTCTTTAGTTCCACACAGAGATCTCTCCAGGAAGGACTCTAATTGGCTCACCTGGTATCACCTGCCCACCTTGGACCAATGATTGTATCCGGAATACAATACCATGATTGGCCAGGCCTGAGTCACATGCCCCTCCAGGGAGGACAAGATACAAATTATCAGAACAAGGGAGATGGTGAACTTGGTGGGACAAATAAAAACAATAGCTATTCTAGTCTAATTAGAATTAGATATGCCTAGGGCGATCTTTTAAAATTGTAAGTCCGATCATGTTACCCACCCCCCCAACCCATCTACCAACTGAAAACTACTTTCTACTTTCAATTGCACTTCAAGTAAAACCCAAATTAGTTCTTTGAATTTTCAGTGCACTACTTCTTCTGACTTCTCCTTACCTTCCAGATTATTTTACCTTCTCTCATGGCTCACCAACAAGGCATCAGCTAGCTACAAGGGCCTAGAATCTGACAGCACACAGGTTAAGAAGCCTGGCTAAACCAAACCCCATCTCCCTAGCCGCACCTTGAACCCTGTGTTCTTATTTTAGTACTAATCTCACTAGGTTAATCACATTACCTAATTCACAAGGAATTTACCTATATGTATAACATTCATCTGGAAAATATTGCAGGAAATTTAAATCCAGTGTTAAAAATGTCACATCGGAGAGCCCCAACTCTACAAATCAGGTTCACAGTCAGCTCTTTATTCTGCAGTATATAATCTTAACTTAAAATGCAATAAAAACAAAGTGGATTTCTGTTGTTCACACACTTTAAAATAGGTCTTTGTTTACAGTAGAGGCCAAGCAATTTGGGAGAGGACTTAGAGGAAGGTCTGCAAGGGGTACTGTTCAGATACTACAAATTCTGAGCTTGTAGTTGGAGCCAGATTGAAGATCATCGAGTTTATGCTGATTGCCACTTGACATGTGCAAGTACAAGAAAGTAAAATGTCTTTGTTCTAGGGTTCCTCAAAATTGCATTGTCTGATTTGATTCCTTGAGGGGGAAAAAGTGTTAAAGAGACTTAAGTCTACGGAGATTTTGATTAAAAAGAAAAGCACTGGGCGTTTGGGCTTTTCTGGTGTGTAGGAAGTTACAGGCAGCCATCTGTTTACTTTGTAAATTCCAGTTGAGGGTGCAACATAAGCTGTTTCAGTTTGGGTGGAAGTTTTGTCAGACCTCACAAATGAGATTTGTACTCTGTTAGGAGTTTGCCAGATTTTTTTGCAGGGGCTGTGGGCAGGTCCATGGTAATTAAGGAGAGTCTACTGCTAATTTGTTTTCTTAAGAGTAAATCCTGAGAAGCTCTTCCTTGCAATAGAAGGAATGATGGAATTAGGATATCATCATTTGGTGATGATTATGGTACTAACTGTTTGGGGCAAGAATCACCCATGGGTAGGACGCTGAAACTGGCGGATGAGACTCTGAAAAACAGGATATTTATGTAGTCTCAAAGTATCTCTCCACAAGATATTTCTTAAATGCAAAGGGGAGTAAGAAGGGAAGGTACTTTGTAGTTCCTAATGAGACACCATCTTATTCAAGTGCTTCCTACTTCCCAGGGTGGGGGTGTAAGAGGATGGAGGGTGGGGAGCGGGACGCAGGGGCCGTCTAGAGACTGGGCCCTTCTCCTGTTGCTCTCTCATCTGCAAGCTTGTGAGTGTAGGTTCCTTTCTTCCCACATGCCCCACGGTCACTCCCTCTTCTCCCAAAGCCAATGCCACCTTCTGTGGTCATGGTTAGATTCCATTCCAGTTATGTTCGTTTATTCCTTTATTTACGGTCTGCCGTGTGCAAACTCCAGGGGATTCAGCGTTAAATAAGACAAGCCCTTGATCTCTAGGATTTTCCAGCCAGCACTAGAGGAAAATATCAAATAAACTATTATAGCCCTTTGTATGTGTAGAGGTATGCACGGGGTGCACAGGGGTACAAAGGGCAGCACGAAACTAGCTGATGCGCACCGGTAGGGCTCTCAAATGATTGAAAATACTTTGATATTGATTGGTAAAAAGCCGCAAGCTGAGCCCCTGGCCACTTCCCTGGGATACTCTTCACTCACAGGCCTCAAGAGAATAATTAAAAGATTAAACCCAACACAGCAGAGGCCTCTAAGACTGCTCTTGCATTTTTCCACTCCTGATTGCCTAATGCTGCATGAAAGGTCAGACAAGGCTTTTCTGGAAGAGGTGATGTGCGTGTCAACAATGAATGGAAGTTAGCCAGGTAAAGCACAGCATCTGTTCAGGCCCCTGGATCAGGGAGAGAATGTGTCGCATCTGAGAAACCATGGTTCACTGAGTAATACAGCTCATCTGATGCTGCGGAAGGGTGGTGAGAAATGGCTTTGAGAGGTAAGTTAGGGCCAGATCAGAAAGAGCCTCGTAAGCCCCACTAAGACACCTGAACTTGATTGAACAAGGTATAAAATGCCTCTGAAGAAGTCTGAGATGGAAAGCAACACAACTGGATTTATGTTTTAGAAAAACAGTTGTGGCATAAGTGAAGGAAAGAGGTTGAGAGGGGCAAAAGACAAAAAGAAACAAAAAACCTGTTAACAGACTGTGGAAGTAATTCAGGCAGGAGATGAGCACCTTTTCTAAAGCAGAATTAGTATGGAAATAGAGAAATGGCTGGAATCCAAAAACATTAAACCTGACTTTTTCCCTATGTGACTACAATAAATTTCAAAGACCTGTAAAAAAAAAAAAAAGGTAGATTCAATAGGGCTTTGTGATTGGATTGGAGTGATGAGCTACCTGTTATAAAATTTTAAAAACGTATTTAGCATTAGATAATTTTATCCAGAATGAACCATTTGGTAAGCCTTTTATATATGCTTCCAAAATGAAGAATTGATCTTGCACAGGAACGTAGGGTGGCTGGCTCGTTTCCAAACCATTATTTTCCGAAGATCTGCAGGTAAACACTATGCATTTGCTAGCCTTTGGACAATTATGGTGGGGTCACACTGCAGGTTTTGTCCTTCGCAGTGCAAAAGAGAGTGTAAGGACAGTACAACCTTGACGGCTGTAGGTCCCCGATTTTAGTAAATCCGCATCCTCCATCAGTTATCTCTGGTGCGTACTCTGACCTGCATTTCTTGGGGTGGCCCCATTCCCAGGATGGATCATGAAGCTGCCCAGCTGGAGAAGCAACACGTGCATGATGTGTATGAGAGCACGGCACCTTACTTCAGTGACCTGCAGAGCAAAGCCTGGCCTCGCGTCCGCCAGTTCCTCCAGGAGCAGAAGCCCGGCAGCCTCATTGCTGACATAGGTAACCCGGGCTTGTGCCCCGTAGTCTGAAATATATTCTCCTGTGTCTTTCCTTTTCAGATGCATCTCACATTTCTGTTCTGACCAGAAGTCTGAAATTGTGTCCTTGGCCTGCCAGTACCTAGACTATTCAACCTTATAGCAGAAATTCATCAAGTCAGGGCGCCTGGGTGGCTCAGATGGTTAAGCGTCTGCCTTCGGCTCAGGTCATGATCCCAGCGTCCTGGGATCGAGTCCCGCATGGGGCTCCCTGCTCCGCGGGAAGCCTGCTTCTCCCTCTGCCTCTCTCTCTCTGTCTCTCATGAATAAATAAATAAAATCTTTAAAAAAAAAGAAATTCAATAAGTCAGAAAGTAGGAAACTTTTTGAAATCTACATTCACACAATGGTGACCTTTTCGAGAGCCTCTGCGCACATCCTCCAACAAAATCGACCTGGCACTGAATGAATAAATCATGACTGAAATGACTGCAGGTGAAATTGACCATTTAAAACTTGGAAACATTCACATTTGTAAATAACATTTGGTGGCTCACCGTGACTGGCTCTCTTGCCTTCTACAGAAGAGCCAGAATTGTGGGATTACACAAGAGGTCCCGTAACCTCTTATTAGTCTCATAGATCCTTTTCCCTTAACTATTCCATAGGTCTTTCATTATTAGAGCCTTTCTTTAATTAGATCATATCTTCGTAATCACTGATTTGCCTGGAGGACTTTGGCTCAGTATCTTTCTGAATCAAGAAGTGGTAAACCACAACCCAGCAGATCTAAGACTAAGGTTTAAGACATGGTAGGATTCCCACTTGAGGCATGCCCACCTAAAACTGCTTTCCAGCAACTGCGTGCAGACTGTGCCCAGGAGAGTCATAAATCTGCAGTTACCAATGCCATCTGATTTGACATTTACTCTAAACATTTACTCTAAATATTAGTACGAGAAACAGACCTGTATCCATGGCTTTTAGCATATTAAAGGTGGTATGAGCAGGGTGGAATCTGGGAAAGGGGTGCATGCCATATAGAAACGGAGAGACTTTGAAAACTACCTCTATCATGTCAACTTTTAAAAATTAACTGTGGTTTCAGAAGATACAGTGAGTTTGGAACTCTTACCACCCTCGATGTCAGCAAAGTGCCAGAATCTTAAAATCAGTTAGGAAGAAAAGGAACCATTCCATAAGTGGCTTTGGGACAACAGTATAATTATATGCTGCTTTCTCATACCTTACCCCAAAATTCCAAATGAAGCAAAGATATAAATATGAGAAAATTAAATTGTTAAAGGACTGGATGATTGACAACTAGATTATTTTTAAAAATATCCTCAGAGGCAAAAGCCCCTTCTGTGTGTAACACCAAGGAAAGTCAGAAATCATAAAAGACAATACAGTTGTCATTATTCACAGTACCTACGTTAAGTTGATAAAATTGCCATGAACACTGACTTTGTGAATACTGAATTACTGCCCTGAGGGGAAATGTAGGATCAGGTTCCTGTGAGCCTCTGGTCACAACATTTTGGTCAACTGATCAATACCTAACCTTGTTTCATGCTTCTGTGTATTTGAAGACACATTATGACGATATAGTATGGATTCTTTAACATTAAACTCAAGGCCAACACACTATATAACTCATGCCTGAACATAATTTACTGAACACATATATTTCGTCATAAGGCTCGTCATAGCCATCTTGGGCTTAGGAACTCTTCACAGCACTTTAACTCTATGCTCAGGGACCATCCTAAACCATGAAGTCACTGGAACAAAGCACAAAAATGTGGCACTAAATAGACCACAGAAAGAGCACTTGTTGGTAGGATGAGAATCAAAACAAGACACTGGCCAGACACCTCAGGCAACTCAAATTTTTCCAAATTTTTGCTGCTCTATAAACAGGCTTGTCAGTGAACCACCATGCAAGTGCTTGGGTATTGACTTGGGGGTCACAGATTTTATCACATAGGTGAACGTGCAAATATGGAACCTGTGAGTAAAGAAGATCGACTATATGGGGGCGCCTGGGTGGCTCAGTTGGTTAAGCGACTGCCTTCGGCTCGGGTCATGATCCTGGAGTCCCGGGATCGAGTCCCGCATCAGGCTCCCTGCTTGGTGGGGAGTCTGCTTCTCCCTCTGACTCTCCCCCCTCTCATGTGCTCTCTCTCATTCTCACTCTCTCTCAAATAAATAAATAAAATCTTTAAAAAAAAAAAAAAAAGAAGATCGACTATATGGATATCTTTGGCCATGTAAAAAGTTGAAAGTTCTACAAGGCAAAAATCTAGACATATATAAATGAAGTCAAAAAACAAAAATTAAGTTAAAAATATCTGCAATTTATCTGATAGAAAACTGGATAATTTACTGAATCTACAGGGTATTCTTTAAAGTCAGTACAAAACAATAGGACCAAAATTTCAAAAAAAAAAAAAATGAGGAAAGGATATGAACAAAAAATTTAAAAAAAGGAGGACTACCTCTTGCTTAAAATTGTTTTGCTGGCTGATGTACTTACGTGGCTCAGTAACAAAGGTACCAAAGGGTATACGGTGAAAAATATGCCATCCCCGTCCTACGGCACCAAGTAACCCATTTGCTTAAAATTGTTTTGCTGGCTGATGTACTTACGTGGCTCAGTAACAAAGGTACCAAAGGGTATACGGTGAAAAATATGCCATCCCCGTCCTACGGCACCAAGTAACCCAATGAGCTTTTTGTATAATCTTGAGATATTTCAAGTATAAGCATTTGCATATGTGTGCATATGGGTGGATTGTCCTTTTTTGATTACACAAATGGTGGTATGTTATACAAACCTAGCTTTTGTTTCCTTTCATATATTGTGATCATCCCATGTTTGTACTTACACAGCTGCCTCACATTAAAACCTGCATGGCATTCTCTGATAATAGCACCCTATTAACAGATACATGTTGTCTGCTCGATCTCGCTCCTACAAATTATGGTGCAAATAATATTCTTTAGATGCCCCTGTGCAACTCCATAATTTTATCTAGTATATATATATTTTTTTACCCATTTGTATCTTTCGAATTTAGTGCTTTTACAGTTTTTTAACTACTCAATAAATGAATGGTACTATTTTGATTACACAATGAGAGATAGGGTTTTTAAAAATATTTTATTTATTTTAGAGAAAGAGACAGTCTAGGGAGAAAGAGATTGAGAGCAGGGAGAAGGGCAGAAATAGAATCCCAAGCAGACTCCAAGCCCAGCATGGAGCCCAATGGGGGGCTCGATCCCCTGAGATCATGACCTGAGCTGAAACCAAGAGTCGGATGCTCAACTGACTAAGCCACCCAGGCACCCTGAGAGATAGATTTTAAAATAAAAATGAAGTTAAAGAAAAAATAAATGAAAAGAAAAGAAAGAAGCCTAAGGAGATTAGAAGAAAAGAAAGTAGGATAGGGATGCCTGGGTGGCTCAGTCAGTTAAGCAGCTGCCTTCGGCTCAGGTCATGATCCCAAGGTCCTGGGATGGAGCCCCACATCGGGCTCCCTGCTCAGTGGGGAGCCTGCTTCTCCCTCTGCCTGCAGCTTCCCCTGCTTGTGCTCTCTCTCTCTCTCTCCAACAAATAAATAAAATCTTAAAAAAAAAAAAGTAGGATAATATGACTATCTCCAAAAGGAAGTATTTTTTCTTTCCAGTTTTCCACTTCGCTAAAATCAATTGTTATGTTGGCAACTTGACTAGTTATTAGATTAGCAATGTATAGTTAATTATGAGTAAAACTTTGCATAAGTAACAAACATCTGGAGGTAATCAGGTTCCAGTTGCCCATACAGTAATTTCCTAGGCTGTTTTCACTATTTAAGTGGTGCAACTTTCAGTTGATGAAAATTTTATTAACCACCTCACCCAATTCCCCAGCTGAGCTGATTTGCTGAGGTGTGGGTGAAGGGTTCCTGATGACAACTAAGTGTTCAGGGCAGGTATCAAGAATTAAGTGAGCAGGAACTATAGCCTAAGTGAAAAGAACTTACATGATTCAAAGACAGCAGAAATCCCAAGTCTCTCAGGAAATGCTAGGCACTGTGCAGTCATGGCAATGCCATTACCTAAAATGGGCTTGTCACTAAGGACATTAGATGGGGCATGGAGGGTGTTCTGGGGTTTGAGAGCTTTATTTAGATTAGCTTCGAAAGCCGGAAAAAGACCAGAGCCCGATTCTTTTTGGGCAAGGTTACCTTTTTACCCGACATCAGAGACAACCGTCTGTCCCAGTAGTATTGAAAATTGCATTTTTGCGTACATAATAAAAATGAACTTTTCAATAATTAAGATTCCCTTTGCCTCTTCACTGTATGTACTTATTCCCAGTCTCTGTGGTCAGATTTGATTTGCTAAGTCATTCTCTATTTACCATTCCTGCACTGAGTCAATGGAAATGTAGAACCTCTGCTTTGTGGTAGGCACATAATATGCCTACAGAATAAAACATATCCCTTCATCTCTGGTTTCAAGAAATGTATATAAAATGGGAAATAAATAGGCTATACATTCTTCTCTTTCCCATGGGAAAAGAGAATTCTCTTTCAGGTAACGGTCTTAGCAACAAAACAAAAACTTAATTTAAAAAATGTAATTCCTACAAACTTAAGGGGAAACAGATTAATTATTTCTAGCAAACACTTGCCCACCACGCACCAAAGCATTTTGTGGAATTGGGGCAAGCATCTGTTTCCTTCTCTGAGTGTGGTGCAGAATGGAAAAGAGGGAATGGAAGCCTACAGGCGCCTTCTGTTTGCTCACTTCAGTACTACGAGAGGTTATCCTTTAATGAGATTTTGTAAAGCTGCATGAGTGTTGTGTGCTGGAGCTTGCTGCAATATCAAAAATGTTCTGACAGGCTTCTTGCACATTTAAGATAATGGGGTCACTAGGCTTGGCAGTGTTCCCCATCTCATTAGGATAGAATCTGCCCCTCTTTAGCATCTCAGTGTATGCAGTTGGAAGATAAATAATGGCATCATACTTGGGAGATCCACCACTATCCTTGAAACTGAATGTCATCAGAAATGAATGTGGGATTGGGACGCACCCGGGTGGCTCAGTCGGTTAAGCGTCTGCCTCCAGCTCAGGTCAGGATCTCAGGGTCCTGGGATCGAGCCCCACATCGGGCTCCCGGCTCAGCAGGGAGTCTGCTTCTCCCTCTCCCTCTGCCCCTCCCCCTGCTTGTGCTCTCTCTCTCTCTGACAAATAAATAAAAGCTTAAAAATAATGAATATGGGATAAATCAAGGGTTCCATGGGCCTTGGAAGCCTTTCAGGAAAAGGCCCGAGTGGTTTCAGTACTGCCAGATGCCCTCTGAACACCTCCCTCTAGCTCGAATGGTCCACAAACCTGTTGTTCTTTCTTGTTTTTTACTTTTTAAATTCCAGCATCATTAACGGACAGTGTTATATTAGTTTCAGGTGCACAATGTAGCGATTCCACCATTCTGTACATTGCTCAGTGCTCATCACGATAAGTGTGCTCTGGACCCCCTTTGCCTGTTTCACCCATCCCCCACCCCCACCACCGATAAGCAGCAGTCTATCACGAACCTGTTCTTATTCGTCTCTCTATGATAATTTTCCATTTTTTAAAATGTATCCCCTGAGCCAATTAAAATTAAAAAAGCAAACGGATTTGCAAGACTATTTTTTCTTCAACTATGACCATCATCTTTGAAATACTCAGGACTGCCATTTTTAAATACTTTGTGATTCCTATTTTCCCCATAACTCCCCTCAAATATTGGTTTCTTTTTCTCGTAAGCATTCTTGGGAACCATGGCTGTGAGATCTAAAATATTTCTAAGACCCCAATCATTTACATTGAAATAATCACACTGGAAATCTTATTTTTTTATTCACAGGCTCGCCACTGTCTCAGCTGGCATCGATGAACTTTAATTATGCTTTTAGTGTCTCATATAATTTTGAATGGCCTATCAAGAGGGAGTTATTAGAGCATTGTGACGTATTTCCGAAGCAGCCAACTAAACGTCCTTGATTAGTGGTAGACTTTTTTTTTCAGGGAGAAAAATCTAGAGCTAATGCCAGTAGGCACAAATATCAGCTCTAATGATATCTTTAAATATTTCTGGAAAAGGAATTAGCTGCTATGTCTGTGCAAATATAATACTAGGTACCAGATCCTAGAAGGCTTTGTTTCATGATGGTTACTCACTCCTATTGCTTCCTTCTTCATTGTAGTATCAGATCCGATTGATCTAGATCTTTGGGTTGTGTAAATATTGAATTCTTTGGGTCTCTGCCACCAGAAAATGAATGTCAAAAATGGTCTGTTTAAGAAAAAAGTAATTCTAAGAGTTGCATACTGAGTCAACAGAGATCATTTAAAACCTAGAACTGACAATAGATTGGATGAAAAGATACCGAAATTCCCTTTTCATTCAAATTCAACATTTCTGAAAAGCATGTTTTATTGTATACATTCATTTATTTATATCTAATGAAAAATGGTGGGCAGTAGTTTGTTTTACACAGCCAGTGAGTGGTAAGAATGTCTGGGGAGAGGGGCGCCTGGTGGCTCAGTCAGTTAAGTGTCTGCCTTTGGCTCAGGTCATGGTCTCAGGGTCCTGGGATCAAGTCCTACATCGGGCTCCCTGCTCTGCGGGGAGCCTGCTTCTCCCTCTGCCTCTGCCTGGCCACTCCCCCTGCTTGTGCTCTCTCTCTCCTTGTCAAATAAATAAAATCTTTTAAAAAATGTCTGGAGAGATAATATGAGAATAAATGCCATCACACACAGACCTTCGCATAATGAAATATGTATGTGAAGGTAGATTTTATAAAGGACTGAGCATCACTCCTGGGGTCTAGGAAACCCCCCTCTCCTGCCGTGAGCCAGCTAACAGTCTCTGGTGGTGCTTGCGTGCTCACTCCTACAGGCATGACCTCATTAAATGTTTGATAAATATAATTTCTTTTTCCCGATTCCTCTCCCTCTCCTCCTATAAGTGAAAATCTGTAAGTGCCCTCTGGAGGTTTTTCTTTGGCTTTTGTGAATACCTTCATGCCATGCTGTCATTGGTCTCAGTTCATTAATACAAAGTTATTTCTATTGCTTGTTATAAGAAAAACTGTGCGTTCTACTTTCCCAGAAAGGACGGCGCGTAACACAGGTTTTTCTCTTACAGGTTGTGGGACTGGAAAGTATCTTAAAGTGAACAGCCAGGTGTACACCCTGGGCTGTGACTACTGTGGGCCATTGGTAGAGATTGCCCGGAGCAGAGGATGTGAAGTCATGGTATGTGACAACCTTCAGCTCCCCTTTAGGGACCAGGGCTTGGATGCTATCATCTCCATAGGAGGTAAGGCAGCCTCTGGCCACACGTTCACTCTTCACCTTGAGAATGACATTACATGGTGGAGGCCCTTCTCACAACTCAACGTGCATTCTTTGTAGAAATGTCTATGTGATTCACGTGATCTAATTTTTATCAAAAATATTTCAACTGGATTACTGAACTAATCTCAAAGGTACTTGATGGTGGTACCTGGGATTGTGATAACTAGTCAAGCCTTCCAGTTGGTATTGTATTCTCTCCGATGACTCATTCCCAGTTCTCTTACTTATGAGTAAGAAAGCATTAAGGGAATTTTACTCATTGGAATATTTTGTACTTGGTTATATTGAAATGAAGCCAGATTTTTCCAATGTGAAGTAGAACTTTAGAAGTCATATTACCTGCTTTAGGTCGCGAGTGTGTCCTTTATTAGCAGGACATTATAAAACTGATGCACTGAATGTCACCTGGCAGGCTGTGTCATGCAGCCTACAGCTCACTGATGCATAAGGCACCAGGGAAGATGGCCCCACTTGGTCCCAGACTGCGTTATTTTTATAATGCCACTCAGCTCTCTTAATGCCAAAGATTGTTCAGAAGTCTAGGGATTATGTTGCTATTTTCCCAGCAAATGTGCCCATACAAACACACAGGCCACAAATGAAAAGAAAAACAAAACCCCATGCCTGAAATAGACACAGGTAAGGCTCTCTTACGCAATGCACGTAATTCTGAAACCGAGTCCGTTAGTCCTATTTAAATACGCTAGGGAATCTTGCAGCAATTTTCCGCAAAGAGGAAAATCTTCTGCACAGCAAATCATTTGCTCCAATACACTTAAAAGATTAATCTATTTGACTCCAGCGAGCTTCGTCAAAGCAAGGGGATCCTACATAAAATTGACTAGATACAAAACTGATTGTCAGATAAAAATACAGAGTAAGACTATTTGCTCTCTCCTGAAGGAAATGAGGACTCGATCTATTTGACCTTAGATGGGGACTGTATCTCTGCTTAGCAAGGGGATGCAGGCCTGGATGCCCCAGCCGTGAAAGTCCTTGGGACTGGCAGGAGACGGTTGCCATGGAAACCTGCTCTACGACAGCCCCACTTATTGCAGTCGAAACTGTTAAGTCCATTTGGGGCCTCAACATGAAGAGGAGGGATTCCCGTTACACCAAGCAACTCATTACAATGCTTTGAATCTTGAGTGGAAAGAAAGTTTCGGGGCTGGTCATTCTCCCGAAAGAACGAGAAATCGCGGAGAGGTCAGAGAAGCGTATTCTTTGCTCTTTTTGTGCGTTGACATCAGTTTTAGAGTCTGCGAGGCTCCCCACGTCCAGGCTGTGCCACTGGGCACCACTGTGGGCAGGGGGAGACTGCCCGGCTTTCCTGCGCCTGGGAAATGCTCTAAGTCTCTCTCGGCTTTCAACAGAAGTCTCACGCCTTGTCGGCAGAAGAAACAGAACACACCTGGTTGCCATCTTCTGAAGAAAAATGCTTCCTTAGGTGGAAACACACCATGTATTTTTAGGAACTGTAACTATAAATTAATGTGATGTGGTCATTTCAGCTAGGTTTCACATTTAGAACCATATGAAAAATTCTGATAGTCTGTCTCTCTTATGTCCATTTATATTTACTTCCCTGTTTAGAAATCTGTATGTTGACACTTTTTGCTAATCTTCACATGAAGAAATATATAGTTTTTGCTTTTCCATGTCTCTTAATCATAATACTTTGAAAGGTAAGCATCATACCTAATGATACATTCATTATGTTTTGCTGGCAGATTGGAAAAAGAAGCACTCTTTCCACTTAGTTTTAGAATAGCTTGACAGGGGGCACCTGGGTGGCTCAGTTGGTTAAGCGACTGCCTTCGGCTCAGGTCATGATCCTGGAGTCCCGGGATCAAGTCCCGCATCGGGTTCCCCGCTCAGCGGGGAGTCTGCTTCTCCCTCTGACCCTCCTCCCTCTCATGCTCTCTGTCTCTCATTCTCTCTCTCGCAAATAAATAAATAAAATCTTAAAAAAAAAAAAAAGAATAGCTTGACAGTTCTGTGAAAATTTAGCAATATATTAAAACAGTGCCAATCAACTATTTATTTTATGCCAACGGTTCTCATCTTGGGTTTATGTTGTTGCCCCCGCCAGCCTTAGGGGACACTTGTCCTTGTCCGGAGACATTTTCAGCTGGCTCAACTGGATGTGTATATGTACAACCGACTATCACCTAGTGGGTGGCCCCCTACAACAAAGAATTATCTAGTCCGAAATATCAGGAGTGCTGAGGTTGGAATGCTCTGCTTTATGCTAAACCTATGGATTCTGAATGCTTTTAGATAGAGATTTGAGACCTGTACACTGGAAAAGTTATATAACAATATATCATAAAATATCAAGATACAGCAGGACTTTAAAGATGATCTTGTGATGGGGCGGCTGGGGGGCTCAGTCATTAAGCGTCTGCCTTTGGCTCAGGTCATGATCCCAGGGTCCTGGGATCGAGCCCCACATCGGGCTCCCTGCTCGGCGGGAAGCCTGCTTCTCCCTCTCCCGCTCCCCCTGCTTGTGTTCCCTCTCTTGCTGTGTCTCTCTCTGTCAAATAAATAAATAAATAAAATCTTTAAAAAAAAAAAATGATCTTGTGTAACTTCCTATCTAGTTCTAGAATCCAGTAATTGAATTCAACCTCCCTATTTTCTGGGGTCTCAGTAGGAATACATTGCTATAGAATCCCTATATTGTACTATTTTTGCCTTTAGGTTGTGATTATGATTTTTAAACAAAAGGGGATTTTTTTTTTTATCCTTTAAAGATTCAATATAGTTTCCTGACATTGATAATTCATGTAAACGTATCTTCATATCCCATTTTGGCTCCATTTAGAATGTTTTAAAATACATTTTTTATATAATGAAGAAATCTTTATTTGTAAACTTTTCCCAAAAAATATGGCCTAAAGGTTACTTAGTATTACATGTTAAATATAAACATAAAACAATACAAGGGTGCCTGGGTGGCTCAGTTGGTTAAGCATCTGACATTAGCTCAGGTCATGACCTTGGGGTCCTGGGATCTAGCCTCCTGGCGGGCTCCCTGCTCAGTGAGGAGTCTGCCTGGCCCTCTTCCTTTCCCCCTGCTAGTGCTCTCTCTCGCACATAAATAAATAAAATCTTAAAAAAAAAAAAAAAAGCAGCAGCAATATAAAAGTGATATTATGCTATTAAAAATGAATCATCACAGAACAAATGTTTAACAAATACATATAAAGACTTTCCTTTTAAAAAAGACTTCTTTTGAAGCCCAGAATCCTGGAATGTTGAAGACTTACGAATCTGCTAAAAAGAGATTATTGTATTAGTCTGGTTTTAGTGATGCTTTTTTCCTTTTTGGCCCCCCAAAAGGAACATAGTCAACTCTCATTATTCACAGTAATTATACTGTATTAAGTCTCTTGAACACTTCATTAGTGAATATGGAGCCATTGCTCCCAGGGGAACTACAGGACTAGGTTTCCGTGAGCCTCTGGTTGCAGCGTTTTTGTCAACTGGCTAATACACAGCCTTGTTTTACATGTGTTTCTATTTATTTTTTTTTAAGATTTTATTTATTCATGAGAGACAGACAGAGAGAGAAGCAGAGGGAGAAGGAGGCTTCCCGCGGAGCAGAGAGCCCAAAGCGGGACTCGATTCCAGGACCCTGGGATCATGACCTGAGCCGAAGGCAGACGCTTAACCATCTGAGCCACCCAGGCGCCCGTGTCTCTGTTTAAAGACAACTTATTTTTTAATTTTTATGTATTTTTTTTTTCAGAGAGTGGGGGAGAGGGGGAGGGGCAGAGGGAGAGAGAGAATCCCAGGCAAACTCCAGGCCCAGCACAGAGCCTGAGGCAGGGCTCCATCCCACAACGCCGAGATCATGACCTGAGCAGAAATCAAGAGTCAGATGCTCAACTGACTGAACCACTCAGGTACCCCTAAAGAAAACTTATTTTGAGCTCATGCCAACAGCCCAAACGAAGCTTCTGTAACACATCTATTTTCTCTCTGAGACATAACCTAGCCTTCTTACGCTTAGGAACCCTTGGGCGCTATGCTCAGGGATCATTTTAAACAGCAAAATCACACACGAAAAGCACAAAATGCAAAAAATGTGGCACTAAATAGACCATGAAAGGACCCTTGTTGACAGGAGGTAAGCCAAACCAAGGAAGCAGGGGTCACCTGGTTCGATCTCAGCTGGGAACATGCATGATGGGAGTTTTTTGCCATCATGTGCATGTCAACAAATGACCACAAAAACATGGAGAGTGCTATTTTTGGGGGGGTACAAATATATTTTGGCAAGTAGCAAAATTTGCAAATACAGTATTCACAGATAATAAGGATTGACCATATTTGCAAGATACACCCACAGAAGTTCTGGCGTGAATTAGGTGCAAGTCATGGGAGATACGAACAACCATGAATAGTCCTAGATATGAACATTAGCATCATCTTAAGTCTTTGTCCTCCTGACCTCTGTGCCTCCTTTTAGCTCAAGACTCTGTCTCTAGACATGTAAGCTTTCAAATGGACCATTATAAAGGGCCCTGTGGGGATAGGAGTGGGGAATAGTCTGAGGCCACGTGAAGTCAAGTGATTGGTCAAACATCACAAGGTGAGTTACTAACAGATCTAGGACAAAATACATGGGGCTCCTGTTCTTCAAACCCATTTTAGCCTCATCATACCTCTGGCTTCTCACACTGCTACATGGGGCAGGAGACACCAGGGTGTGTGTGCTGCTAATAGGAACAAAAACCTGATTGGGAACAAGACCCAATGTGCCTGTTGAATGATCTTCCTCTGACAGCTTTATCTCCATAATAATCTCACGTTAGATATTTGCTATCTCTCTGTGGCAGGTAAACTAGAGATTTATCTGCTTAACACACCACTACCAGCTGGATTGTGGTGAGGGTTATAGGAACTGTCCTAGCCTCCCCTCCATCTCTCCTCTCACTACTCATACCTGAGCAGTAGTGTCCAGACTCCCCTTAGAACCAACTTCCTACCTGAGACATGGGGTGGGCCTTACCCCTGCCTGTGGAAAGAGATCTGATAGTTTCTCTTGACACAGAACTGTGATCAAACTCCTCTCGGAACTAATAGACTGGCGCTTTCCACATACTATTTGATGAAAATATGCCTAATAACACACTTAAGGCTGGGTAAAGGCAGTCCTACTTGAATCTCACTTTAACTTTGCAGGGATTAGAAGTAAAACAATGATTTATATGTTGATTTTTTGAAAATACATACACAACCACTTTATATTAATATTAAATTTTGAGACGTCTCCACAAACACATCTTTGTCTAAATTTTGCTCCCTTGTTGAAAATGGTTCTTGGGGACCTAAGTCTAAACTGGCGTGTGGGGAAGGCTGGATGGATACAGTGCTATGGGCCCAAACTTCTGTATTTAATTAAATATTAAATATTATATATTAACTTTTTAAAAAATTATAAGCAATTACTTGGACTTGGGCTTGGCTGGCTTATCTTTGTTGCATTATCTAAATAGAAAAATAATCTTTAACATTCTTCTCCACTTCTATTTGCTTTATTAATTTTGTTAACATTGATTAGTAGTGTTAACCTTTTGGTGCTTTAGAAGTACCAATCATTCATTAAAGCAAGGAATTATTTCATAGTTTTTCTACTAGGGAATACTTAGTATATTCCCTAGTATATACTAGGGAATAGTAGTATATAGTGCTACTAACATAGTGCTCCCAGGAAAATTTCATTAATTCACACTGATCATCCTTCTAGTTAACAAATTTCACAGGATTTGGGAACTAGGAGGATTTGGAACGGACACATTATTTAAGTGTCTTATTATAGGCAAAGAAATCTGAAATCTAAAGAAGTTAAATAATTGCCCCAAATTGTCAAAAAAGTACAGGAGCCAGAGACAAAAATTATGTCTCCCCTAAAGCAAGGCTGTGCTGTTCCCACCATCTATCCTGCCATGTAGGAAATAAGGAGGCTTTCCTGCATGCTGAAATTGCATCGTTATTGTATGGAATATACTAATGTCTGAATGCATCAGTTTACGTATATGTATACACACTGAGATCTAGTTTCTTCTTTTTCAGTCATACATCATTTTTCTACAAAACAAAGAAGAATCAGAGCAATAAAAGAAATGGCCAGGGTCTTAGTTCCTGGAGGCCAGCTGATGATTTATGTGTGGGCCATGGAACAAAAGAACCGGCACTTTGAGAAGCAAGATGTGCTTGTTCCGTGGAACAGGGCCTTATGCTCCCGGCTTTTCACAGACTCCAGCCAACCTGGGAGAAAGCAGCCGTGTGCACATTCAGAAAGAAGCCATCCCTACCATCCTCCCTGCTCTGTCTGTAGCTGTTCTGTTTGTTTTCAAGAGCAGTGTCATTCACAACGATCCCACAGCCTGGACTATGAGCCACTGATGGCTAGAATGTGTTGTGCAGATATTTCTAAGGGAGGGGAGGAAGAAAATGGATTCTCTAACACGTTAGGAAAATCTTTTCGCTCCTGGTTTTTCTCCAGGTCTTTGGACGAATCAACTCTGAGGAAACAAATTGAAAGGGTGAGACCCTTGAAAAATACAGACGGTTGGGCCCATAGCACTATATCCATCCAGCCTTCCCCACACGCCAGTTTAGACTCAGGTCCCCAAGAACCATTTTCAACAAGGGAGCAAAATTTAGACGAAGATGTGTTTGTGGAGATGTCTCAAAAGCAACTGGAGTGGCCGAGAGCACCAGCCACAGTGAAACATCTATGTGGGGACCAACCAGGAGAAGTTAGGAGAAATGGAGATGGGAATTTTCTGGAAGGCACCAATACTAGTGAGAACGGCATGAATGCAGGTGATGTGGAAGAAGGTCCCCCTTCTGCTAGTAGAATCCTGAGAAGGATTTCTGCACTTGACTCCACAGATTCCAACCCAGAGGAGACAATTTCTGTCGAAGACCAACAGCCCAACGTTTTGGATTCCGGAGCCTTTATGCGCTACTACCATGTGTTTCGAGAAGGTGAGCTCTATGGCCTGCTGAAGGAGCACGTGGCAGAGCTGCATGTTCTGAGCTCTGGGAATGATCATGGCAACTGGTGTATCATTGCTGAGAAGAAGGACAATTGTGACTGACTGGGGCATTTTAGACAATTCCTCCAAAAGGTGGACCATGTTCTTTTCACTGGGTTTAGTTACGGTTACCTGAATTTGTGTCCAATTTTATTATTTTTAATCCATGTATGCTTTGGTTTGTAAAGATGATGAGTTGGTTATCTTTTAAATCTTTGGATGAACCCAGAGCCTGGCGCGTAAAGCATTTGACAAAGGGTATTCGTAAATTATTAATATAAGAGAACTGAAGGAGCAATAGGAAGTGAACTTCAGTATTGTTGGGATCTTCTTTTCCCTGCAAGGTGAAATTATTTTTTTTTTTTTAAGATTTTATTTATTTATTTGAGACAGAGAGAATGAGAGACAGAGAGCATGAGAGGGAGGAGGGTCAGAGGGAGAAGCAGACTCCCCGCCGAGCAGGGGGAGCCCGATGCGGGACTCGATCCCGGGACTCCAGGATCATGACCTGAGCCGAAGGCAGTCGCCCAACAAACTGAGCCACCCAGGCGCCCGCAAGGTGAAATTATGAAGACACGTGTATATCATTTGTCAGTATTAGATGCTGATTTTAGCAGATTCTGGGTGTTTACTTTTTTTTATTACTATTGAAGTAGAGTCAACATACGATGTTATATTAGTTTCAGGTGTACAACATAGTGATTTGACAATTCCATACAAGATTCTGTTTTTATTTTTATAATGAAGGGGGTGGGTGAGTTCTGCTTCTCAGGCTACACTTTAGATCCATATGTAAGATACCAGGTAAACTCCACTGCGCAGATGTAAATGGAATCACGCGATACATTAATTTGTTGCCAAGGCCTTGCTCTTACTTGAAGTCTTTCAAAAAGTGAGAGATGGTGGAGAGACAAGAAGTGTTACAAGGACTTTTCTGAATGATAAGCAGACTTGCTTCCAAATACACAAATAACAAGGTTTTCAATGTTGCACGGAAGGTTTTTAAAGGTATTGTGAGCCTGTAGAGAGTGGTAGGTGTGGGTACTAGATGCCATGGCAAGTACCCGGGTGGTATCTTCATGACCTCATTCGAAGCAGGAATATCTGGTTAAGATAAGACCAAGGTTGACTAACGAGGAGTTTTCATCTAGAATGATGCTTTTCTTATGAACTGAAGGGGTATTTAGGAAATGAGAATCTGGTTGAAGCACCGTTTTATTTTGGTTCTCATTACAAATACACTGTTAAGGGGCAAGATATTTGTCCTTGATAGAGGATCTATTGTTGGGTTGTTTTAAAAAAAAAATCTGGGCATTTATCTTATCGAAAGTGACATTTTATTAGTTATATTAGGGATTTAGGCAGAATTAAGTCCTATTAATTCAAGGTTGAATTTCTGCCACTTTGTAGGCAAATGAATAGACTGGGTGTTGTATGGTCACTGCATCTGTTTAGATTAACCATGGGTCTGTTTAAATCTACGTCATGGGTCAGGAGACAGATATAATTAGGAATTGACATTTGACAGAAGTCTTTTTAATTTATAGACCACTGTAATCCTGGACAAAAACTCAATTCTTGTTTTGTATAAAATTTCATTTGTTTTGGGTCCTTTATCTCCTCCGTGATTGTGCTCTATCTTAAGATAATGTTGCTATTTTCAGAGAAACCTAAAGGATTATTTTTAATGCTTATCTGAAAATGACTGATGTGTTTATCTCTTTTGGCTTCAAAATGAGATCCCATCATCACCTTTTTGGTTGGTGAGATTGTCTGGTGTACAATATATGAGATATAGGATTTGTAGTGTTTGGTACTCAGTTTGCATTAGAGGGACAATGAAAACAGACCTAGAAGTGGAATATAAATTAAAGATTAATTTAGTGTCTTCCATTTCTTTGTTTTAAATTTTAGTTAACATACAGTGCAATACTGGTTTCAGGAGTAGAATCCAGTGATTCATCACTAACATACAACACCCAGTATTCATCACAACAAATGCCCTCCTTAATCCCCATCACCCATCTAGCCCATCCCCCACCTCCCTCCCTCCATTAACCCTGTTTGTTCTCTACCATTAAGAGTCACTTACGGTTTGTTTCCCTCTCCTTTCCCCCACTCCCTTGCCATATGTTCATCTGTTTTCTTTCTTAGATTCCAATACGAGTGAGATCATACAGTATTTGTCTTTCTGACTTATTTCACTTAGTGTAATACACTCTAGCTCCATCCACATCATTGCAAATGGCAAGATTTCTTTCTTTTTGATGGGTGAGTAATAATTCCATTGTGTGTATGTATGTGTGTGTATTTATCTATATCTATATCTATCTATCTATATAAATATAGATATATATATCTATATATCTTCTTTATCCATTCATCAGTCGGTGGACATTTGGGCTCTCTCCATAGTTTGGCTATTGTTGATAATGCTGCTATAAACATTGGGGTGACTATACCCCTTCGATTCTGTATTTTTGTATCCTTTGGGTAAATACCTAGTAGGGCAATTGCTGGATCATAGGGTTTCATTTCTTAAATTAGGACATTAAACATGAGTATAAGTGGCTTTCTTAGTAGAAAGAAAATATTCTCTGAGTTGGAGAAGTTCTTACAGTTAAGTCTTGATGGCCTTTTTATTACGAGTGGATTTTTCCTCTCCTTGAAGTTTGTTGTCACATGTATCTTTAATGCCAACCTTGCTGCTAGAAATCTGCTTGAAGTCACCTCTTTCTGGTGGGAGCGTACCAGTTACATGGAACCCCGCATATTAGGCTGACTGCACCAAAATAGCTGTGCCCTAACCTGTGTGAGCGACCTAAGCACACACCCTACTTTACATTAGATGATTCTCTAGGTTGGTTCTTGAGAAAGATTTTCACATAATTTTGACAAGGCTGTAAATAAGAAGCCACCAATAATAGCAGTCTTTTGCTCTTCATCTGCTGAGCACAAGAATTCTATGCATCCAGATATTTTTTGTGTGTGAATATTGAACACTCCATGGTTGATAACCTCGCTTTAGTATATTCACGTGAAAAGCACTCTTAACTCTAACTTCCGCCTTTGGAGATTATATATATATGTCATTGAAGAGCCAAGCTAATGTAAATATCTTAATCATTTAAAAATCTTGCTCATCTTTAGGACTGTCCTCAAAAGGAAATACAAATCATAAGTGAGTTTAAGCATACACAGGTTACTTAGGAGTGTTCAGTTTGCCTTAACTTGCTTAGCTATAGATTTTGCTGATCCAAAGTAATATGAAAACTTGGACTCCGTTATTAATACTGGATCAAAGAGTGTCTTCCCTGTTCCTTCTCTGTTCCTTGCTGGCATCCCTGCAGAGTCCCACTATCTGAAGTAGCAGGAAGTGTTTAGGAGATTACTGGAAGGTTCTTCCTTAAAAACCTTTGCTGGCCAGGGCACCTGGGTGGCTGAGTCAGTTAAGTGTCTGACTCTTGATTTTGGCTCAGGTCATGATCTCCGGGCCCTGGGATCCAGCCCTGCTTCGGGCTCTGCGCTCAGCAGCAAGTCTGCTTGAGGATTCTCTCTCTCCCTCTCCCTCTGCCCTGCTCATGCATGTGCGCTCTCTCTTTCAAAATAGATTTAAAAAAAAAAAAGGTTTTTTAAGAAAAAAAAAGCAACCCTTTTTTTTCTTTTTAAAAGATTTTATTTATTTATTTGACCGAGAGAGACACAGCGAGAGAGGGAACACAAGCAGGGGGAGTGGAAGAGGGGAGAAGCAGACTTCCCGTGGAGCAGGGAGCCTGATGCGGGGCTCGATCCCAGGATGCTGGGATCATGACCTGACCTGAAGGCAGACACTTAATGACTGAGCCACCCAGCGCCCCATAAAAAAAAAAAATCTCAAAAAAAAGAAAGCTCTTGCTGACTTACTGATGCCTCACTGGCCATTAATTTAAGGGAGACACACAGTCCAATGATTTGGGGTAAACTGCATGAACATGCGGGAAAGGATGCAATCAAAATAACACCACATTGGCAACCATGCACGTGCTCTATTTAAATTATTATTTTTTTTAAACTGTCACTAAGGTGATGAAGTGGTACCAGCATGTCATGTAACTAACAAACCCTGTGACAACTGTCTCAGGTTATCACATCAGTCTCATCCTCCTCTCTTACCACACTGTCCAATGCAGGATGGTATAGGATTCTTGTTTCGAGTTTGCCCTTCTATGTTCTTCCAAATTCTAGATATCAAGAATTCCTCTATGTTTTAGCTGACCATCAACTGAATGGGCAAATACTGGAGGTAATCCAGAGAGAAAGCGATCCAAATCCAAATCATCCAGGAACATTAATGTAACTGTACCTTAATGGCCACACAAAAAATAAGCACTGATGAATTTTTTATAAAACTAAATGGGTTTGGAGGAGGACAGAGGGGCTAACCCAAGAGTTGTGGAACTTGATTGGGGAAGGTATTCCTTAAAACGGAGCTCAGTTTGGGAGGAGGATGCCCTCCTTAATCCCCACAAAAGGAGCTGGAGCATTTTGTGACAAAGACTATTTTTCTTATTAAAATCTCTGGAGGAAATGGGGTCTAATCAGCTGCAGCCTAGGGAAAAAAAAAAAAAATTAGGGCAGGCCTGAGCTCTTCCCTGCTATTATATAGAAAATGTGAAATAATAAGAGCAGCTAACTTTCCTTAGTATCTAGGGGTGCCTGGGTGGCTCAGTCGTTAAGCGTCTGCCTTCGGCTCAGGTCATGATCCCAGGGTCCTGGGATCGAGTCCCACATCAGTCTCCCTGTTCAGCCGGAAGCCTGCTTCTCCCTCTGCCTCTCCCCCTGCTTGTGCTCTCTCTCTCGCTGTCTCTCCTGCTCTCTGTCAAATAAATAAACTCTTTAAAAAAAAAAAAAAACTTTCCTTAATATCTAACATTAATTATTCTATCTGTAATCCTCATCACAATATAAATATAAGTATATAAATATACTTATTGTTTTCTAGGAAAACTGAGGCAGAAAGAAATGAATTAAATTGCCTAATATCACACACATAGCAAGTATCCCACATGTAGTAAGGGGCGGGGTTGAGATTCAAATGTGGGCAGGTTGGCTCCCATCCTCTGCTCTCAAGCACAACACCGTATGATACACACAGTCACGGTGCTCGGCCGATTATAAGAGCCGTTCAAGGTAAGTGGGATCATCCCCTTTACAAGTGAACTTCAGCAAAGTTAAGCAAAGATGTCACAGTTACACAATAATTGGATAGTAATCCCTTACATCTTTTACACCTATCTTTTTCACTTGTAACCCTGTTTCAATTTGATTTTAATAAGAAAAATAGTCTTTGTCACAAAATGCTCCAACTCTTCAACCCTTGAAACATTGTTATTACTGTGTTTCCTTTTTGTGGCTGAGAAAATTGAGGGCTATTCAGATATTTCACTCATTTTGTTTGTTGACTGAACCCTGCTCTGTGCCAGATACATAGGATATGAGGCAATGAACCTCAGGTATGTTGAATATACACAGAATATTAAAATTAACTGCCTCGAAGGAGCCATGTCGTTGTATACCTACCACCTATTTGTACTTGACATAATCTACAAAACGCCCTCTTAGAGAATTGCTGTGCATATTAGCCTGTTGAAGGCCTACCCTAAAGTAAGTCTGGACTTAATGTAACCGAGCTTGCCCTCGACACATAAACATCCTCCAGCATAAGCATTCTGACAAGCATATTTAAGAAAATGATGCGTGCGACAGAATAAACTGCAAACCCCCTAGGGTTGCACTCAGGCTCTTCATAAATTGACTATTTTTCAGGCTCATCCCCTGCAATTGCACCCAATTTTTTTTTTCTGTTCTGCAATCTGCTGTTTTAAACAATGCTTTTATTAGAAATTACAGAGTGACAAGCAATTACCACAACCCCTAGATATAAACTTGGATTTTGAATGCCATAATTGTAATCCTTCTCCAAAGAAAAATGCATGGCGCACGCTTCATCCCGCCAATGCAAAGGGCATATGAGGTAAGCATTATCACACATCCGTCCAGCAGATGGAAAAACCATGGGAGTGAAGTGCATTACAGAGACTTCCCTAGAGCCCCAACCAAGAACGCTCCACTCCTCTTTTCCCGGCCCCGACACGACATTATGATTATTGGTTTAATCACAAAACCTCCGTATCAATTGTCCACCAATCTGGAGCAGGAATATTTTTTAAAAAATTCTCACCAACCAAGAACCAGAAGTGTAATGCAAATAGAAAGCATTCTGTGTGGCACAGAAAACACACAGAAACCTAAGAACTAACCACAGAGAAAATACTGACTGTGATTTGTCCTATTTTTGATTCCCCACTGGTCCCACAGGAAGGGATGCATTCACAGGAACAAGAATCCTGTCACATTCTGCCCCCCTCTGGATGCAGGCCTTCCTCTGTTGATGAGGCTCCAGCAATGGCCCTCTCTGGATGGAGTAGCATTAGCATGCCATCCATCTGACCCATCTGATGGGCCACCTGTGAGAACTGATGGTCAAACTGGATCCCTCGTTTGGCAAATAAATATATATTTCGTCTCTTCTTCAACTACAGCTGGGAAAAATAAAGCTTACCTCAACCCAATTACTAATTAATCCATATGAAACAACATACTCTCTCCACATGGAACATTTGTTTTTCTCTGGATAGTATCTCCTCATGGAGAAGACCGTGGGTCACTACCATTGATCTGTAGCCAGTATAACTAAATGCTGAATTCCCTGTAAAAGTTATATTCATATTTATCCTCACTTTGCAGGGAATTCGGTTGAATGTCAGGCATTTCTCTAATGAGCGAATCAGAGCTCTTCCATCAGATTTTCTATTAACGTATGTGGAGGGACTTCGTTAGGGAAGGACTGGCAATTGGGAAGGCTCACTAATGTGGACCCTGGTGGAATTTCTGAGAAACTTTAAATATGGATGTGAAAACTGTCCCATTTTCTTTAGATGTTCTCTTAAATATGTATTCTGTAAATATATATATATATTTCTAGACATCAAGTATTTGTTGTTATGAGTGACCAAGAAAAAGTAGTCCTCTTAATGTACTTGTCAAAACCTTAAGTTATCAATTACCATAGAAATGTATTTCATTAATAGATTTTTTTTTGTTTCAGGGAAATTGAAAAATAGTTGTTAAATATGGTTGTGCTTCTTCTGAGGTTGACATGTCTATTGGTATCAAAAGTGCAAAAACTTTTTTTTTCTACAGTATATACAGTTACTTCTGCCTTTCCCAGAAGCAGCTAGCAATAGTTTTAAAAGCACAAATTGATCTAA